CCCTAGACGAGGAAGCTACTGAGGCTGCAATGATGAAGTGGCCCCTGGGGCTATAGTTCCCTTCGAAGCTCCCCCACCCCAATTGATTGATGTACATTGTTTTTCTTTTAGGGCTTTGGTCCACTTTGTATGATGTAATTTGTTTTCATTTTAATGAATTTCGAACCTATCTTTTTTGACTTCGACTGTTCCCTTATTATCATACTTTGATAATTGCTGAGATTGAAACAACTTGCTAACTTCTGAAGTGTAATCATGTATTCATGCTTTTTCCACTGGACATTGGGAGTTTCAGCAAATGAACTGGTTGTCAACTGGCCCCGTCATTCTTTACTTCGGATTGGACTTGCCGATATAAATATTAACCTTTATCTTGCCAGACCCACCTAAGTCAGCTTCATAGTTAATCACACTTAATTGGGCGTTTGACTAAGGTTATGCAGCTTTTGATCAGTGAGCCTTACCAGCGGTATGGAAAAAGTAGTAACGTTTTTCACAAAGTCAAATTCCTTCTGTGTTTTCAGACGTCCTGAAGTTGAGAATCTTATCAACTCAGAGGTTGTTCTGGCTCGAGATTTTCCAGGGTGCTTAACTTGTGTAAAATGGAGTCCTTAAGTTATGCATGTATAGTTCGAGTACCAATCCAGTAAAGTTAGGGTTGGTATGATGTAATGTTCAAATCTCCCAAGTCCATTGATCTGAGCCTGCATGTATAGACATTCATGTCATGCCTGGGGGTTTTTACTCAACCCAAAACCAACTCAACATATTCGGTTTGGAAAAAAATCAACCCAACTCAACCCAACCCAATCAAGTTTGGTCGGGTTGGTCGGTTTGTAGTTCGCCATTTGTTCACGAATGGCGCTAATGTATATGAATCCAAAATACTGCCTAGTTCAAAATGCAGATTTTATAAACAACTCACCGTGAAATTCTTCATCATAAATTGAGTGTCAGCAACTCTCCATAATAGAAAGACAGCAATTTCACAATCAAGCCTATAACATCATTGGTAAGCCTTTGAAACCATGATCTCCTACAAAATAAAAAAAAGCAAACACGGTGTTATAGGCTTGATATATATATATATATAATATTCAAACAACTGAGATGGAGAAACTGACATTGCAAGAATCTGTTTGCACCATTTTTCTGATTTATAAACTATGTGAATTACCATACATCTGTACATCTGTTCTAGACTTAAATTCAAGTGATTATTGATTGGGATAATTAAGCATCAATAATAATGATATCTACAAGAAAACATAAGCACAGATTTCTGACCAATTTGGAATTCAAATCCAGCAAAATGTGAAATCCAATAGAAAACCCACAGCAGGAATAGATTAATAATGGGGTTTCCAAGTCAAATGCAGAATCACCAGAACCAAATATATACTTAACGAACAAGCATTGGGATGAAACTCTTCGAAAAAATGTGGGAAAATTGAGGGGAAAATTTACCATTCTGTAACATGTTTTGCACTTGAACTGGGATGAAATGCCATTTTCCCTGAAATAATTGGTTTCAATTCAGCAACCGTAGCAACACCCATTTCCTCGATAATTAGCCCAAAAATTCTCAGCCTATGAAAACCTCCCAGAAAAAGATCATGTTCTTCCCACTAAACAGACTGAACTTACCCTTTAAGCCACACTAGCACCTGAACTTTTTGACATGCCATGGCCTTTACATACTCATGCGTGTATGGTTCCTTGAGGGGGAAAATGAAGACAGAAATCGGACCTCATTCCTCTATTTGGGTGTGAAGAGAGAAATGGGAAAGGGAGGTGCAGAGGAGTTGAATAATGAAGTTTTGCAAGCGATGGAAATCAAAGAAGGAGAAGATCTGGGGCTGGCTACGGCGGGAGTGGAAGATAGAAGACGTGTTGTGTGAGTTTAGGGCTTTTTTTCCATTTTATGTCTGTTTTTTTATTATTATTATTTTTAAGTGTAGGTGGGTCGGGTTGGGTGGGTTGTATCAGGTTTTTTATTTAACCCACAACTCGACCCGACCAGACTTCGCAACCCAATACCCGAAACCCACCCAAAATAACTAAAAGCCAACCCAAACCGGTCGCGTTCGACGGGTTCGAAGGGTTCGAGCGGGTTTTGCCCCGCCCTAGCAACAATCCAATGATTCATTTTTCGACATTTTTATCTCAAGTACTTCTTTCTATTCGATATCCTCAAAATCAATTGAAATATTTTAAGATGAATCGTAGTTGGATGGAATACTCAAACTACCTTTAAATTGATTAATTTCATCACTAGTAAAATTCATCTATAACTATTATACAAAAAATATTTAATATTAGAGTAAAAGAAATTGAATATTAGAGTAAAGATATTGGAGATTGAAATTGAAACTAGAATACTGTAAAATTTTATGAAACTCAACTAAATGGGAGATTATGGTAAAAAAAACTGGAGACTAGAATACTGAATATTAGATTAAAGAAATTGGAGATTAATTGAAGTAAAATGATATGAAGTGGTAAAATTTTTTCATATATTGATAGCAAAAAAAATGTATCCGTTTCAACTATATTTGAATTTCAAAATCAAATTTTGAAAAAAATGATGAATTTTGACAAGGTAGCTAGCTACTTGCAACTATCTATACTATTGTTTTAATTAATTTATTTTTTTATTTTTTTAATAAAACTCGGTTGTGGGCCGAAAATGCCTCTGTGCCTCGACGAGCAATATGGGCTAGCTCGGGCTCGACCCAAGCCCCAAGTCATTCGAGCCGACCGCCGACGAGTCATTTTGAAATCCCTAAATCCAACCTAGCCCAATCTGAGAGGGCATGTGACCTACCTCTTGCACGTCCCTCGAAATAAATAATGTATTTATGATACACACATTTGGTAGAGATTTTTACGAATAAATTTATAAAAAGTAATTCTAAAGAACGTATGATTAAAAAATAGGGAAAATTTATGAATTCTCGTTCAAAATTATTTTATTGAAAGAATTTGTAGTTGTAAATGAGTTTTAGAAAATAGAGGCCAAATAAAGGATTTAAACTGAAATTATAAATAAATCACTAATTAAAAAATATAGTAAATCATTCATGAAGGAAACGTGTTTCTCAAATTACAACTTTAAATGGTGTTATTTTTTTAAAATGACTATGATGTCTTGGTGGATAGGATGGCCTCCGTGGCAACCTCTCATTGATGGTCTGATTGTTACAAAGATTGTGCTTCTTTTAAATGGCCCCTGATGGTTAGATCTCATCAAGGGCTGAGATTAATCCATAGCCTAATATGATTTTCTGGCTTGGATGGCTTTTCGACTTTGAGTTTCCAGACTCTACTCTGAGTTTAGTTCATCTTTATTCTCTTCACTTCTTCGATTGTTGATTATTGTTGAGAGATTAGTGTAAAACCTGTGGTGTAGGTCTACTACACTAATCTTGGGGTCCAAAAATATTGGACTGTTTCTATTTGTTTGATAGGTTGATGTTAGAAGGGTTGTTTTTACGAGACCTTGATGATCTAGAATAAAAAATTTTGTGGGATTTGGTTGATGTACTCTCCCCTCTCTGGAAGGAAGTTAGGATCCGTTTGATTGAAATGATGGAAAATTGGTGGAAAGAAAATGAATTTCATGGTAAGTAATTGCCTAGAAATTGTTTTGTAGGGAATTGTTAATTAAGGCCCAGTTCGGGAGGGATTAAAAGCCAATTAAAATTGAAAATATGATCGTTATTGGGTCTCACTCCTCTAATAAAAGTCAACAATAACGGCCATATTTTCAATTTTAATCCCTCCCATACAAGACCTAAATGTGTTTGATTGGTATAATTTTCCACCCGAAAAAATTTTGAAATTTTGGATTTTTTTTGTTCACATTTGACTTTATTTTAAATGGAAATTGTCCATTTTAGTGAATTTTTTTTTTTATAATTGATTGTGATATTTGTTACCATTGCCAAAAAGAAAAAAGAAAAAAATTTTGTTCNTTGGGGAAAAACAGGTCACGTGGGCTGGGTTGGTGGAAAATGAGTTCTTGGCAAGTTTTTCCCTATTAAACAAACAAATTGGAGGGAAATGAAATTTATTTTCCATTTTTCCTAAAAAATATATACTATCAAACATGCCCTTAATGTATATAGTGAAAAGGGCTTACCCCTGTGCTCCAAGTAGGGGTGGGCGTGGGTTGGATTGTGTTTGTTTTTGCCCCAACTCAAATCCAATCCAACACGATCGGTTTGATTGAAATTCAACATAACCCAACCCAACCAAATGTCGGTCGGGTTGAGTTGGGTTTGGATTGGGTTAGTCGGGTTAGGACTTAATGAACTACGAAAAGGCCTCCACCATTTTGGGTTCATACCAAGTTTGTATGATCATGCCTATGAACTACTCTAAATACCAAAAAATTAGCATATTAAAAGGAAGCTCACTGCATTTGCTACAAACAGAACACTGAATGCATAAAAATCCCCGAATGTGCCCATTACAGACTCATATCTTGAGGAAAACACTAGAAGGAATAGATAATTATATAACTTGTAATAAACCTAAAGAAGGTTTGGACTATTAAGTTTTAAAGGTTTCATCACTTGTAACCTAAGATTTTTTCATTTGCAAGTGGGGTGGAAAATCAAATTTAGAAGCAAGAAACCAAAGAGCAGCGTCAATGTGCACAATACACACAATAATCAAGCTATCAATATACTTAATTATCATTCTCTTAAAAGCAAACTCATGAATTACGTTATGTATGAAAAAGTCCAGAGGCTCTAAAACTTCATGGACCTAACTAAGGGGTTGAAAAGCGCACTTCCACAAAAATATTCCATAACCGAATTCCACACAGCATCAAGCATACTACTAAGATTCAACGGTGAGTGGGTGACGATGCATAACAAACAAACTATTATGTCTATTTCTCGTAAACAATAAAATACGAAGAACAATGATTATTTTCTTCAATAATAACCGAATTCAAAAGAATAAGAAATATACTAAAGTGGAGAAATTCAATTACGTAAAGAGGATTCGAGAAGATTCAGCTCAATAGATGAGAAGAATGGCCGCGAATCGTAAAGGAATTTGAGTCCAAAGAATGGCCGCGAATTCGAGAAATCCCCACTATCGTTGCCCACAACCCTGATTTCAAGTCCAACACAAGCTGCATCAGGAGCAAGAGGAATCTACTCGACGATTTTAGCGGGGCTGCGGGAGAGAAAGAGAGATTTTCTAGGGTTTGTATCATTTTTGGACGGGAGCTTTGTTTTCCAATTTCCACTTTCTAGAAATGAGCTGGAACCCAGGAGTCTACTGCCTTACTAATGAGAAATGAGTCACCCATTTTTTGGTTTTTTTTTCCCTTTGCGGGTCGGGTCGGGTCGGGTTGGGCGAGTTTTGTGGATCAACCCGTAACCCAACCCAACCTAACCCGCTATGATAAAAAAAATAAAAACCAAACCAGCCAAAATAATTTAAAAAAACTGACCTAAACCGGTCGGTTTGAGTCGGTTCGAGCGGGTTGGGAGATTTTTTGCCCACCCCTAGCTCCAAGATTAGGCTAATTGACTGAATTGGGTCAACATCTCTTGGTGTTCTTGTGTTCGATTTTTACGTTTATGCTACGTGGTTGTTTTGTTTTTTACATCATCAACATTTTTTTAGCAGGAAAAACCCCAACAATCCCCAAGTGAAATAATTGCTCATTTATAATTCATTTCAATTTTGACATGGAAAGACATATGAGCCTGTTTGAGCCCCATTTTTAGTATAGAATGTTTTTTGAAATTGTAGATTGATGAATAATATGTGGTTAAGAATGAAAGAAAATGTGTTGGGTTGCATGCAATATTATTTTTATTGAAGAATATGTAATTGAAAAGAAGCGAGAGAAAAATATATTTTGAAAAAAATGAAGATCAAACAAGGGCTAATAAGTAATTTCTAGCTCTTTGATTAGAGAATTTCATTATGTTTAATATACAACTACAATGATATCTTGTCACTCTTCTTTTCTTTTTTAGGGTGTCGTGAAACTTGAAATATCAACTTTCAAAATTTGACATCTTAATCTACATCACTATTTATATGTATTATTACAATAAAATGCTTCACAAAGCTCATTGTACCTTTCAAGGTCAAAGTTGTAAATTCGCATAAGCTTCTTTTGCTTGACTTTTAAACGTCTCTGGAAGTAGCCATTAAAGGAGGGCTCTTGTGATGTCCTCAAGAAGAAAGCATAGGCAATTGCAAAGTGCGCTGATGTCACAAAGAAGCAAATGGGCTCCATTACATCCCAACTTAGTTCCCAAAAAGTTAGCCTCATAAAGCCCAACGTTTGAAGAATAAGAAAGCCCAGCCCAAAGTAGAGTTCTCTTTGAACCAGAGAATGTGCCTTTTGGTCTATTATGGACTTTTCCTTTTCTAGATGGGCCAGTTCTTTCCTTCTTGGGTCGTTTGGCATGGCTATTATAGATTGGGAAATTAGTTTCTCCATTTTTTTGGCCACCTGCAAAAGCAATAGTGAGATTTGGAGCTATAGTCTTCGCTTCATGTTTGAATTACACAGTATTGAACAATATTAATCAAGAACACATTTCCATTTTTTTATTAGATTAATATGATTTTATTTGATTCATGGTTACAACTATTAAATAAACAACTCGTTGGAAATGCAAAGCTGCTAACAGGAAAATGTCACGAAATCCCTCGTTCTTTGTAAATGTCATCAATGTTCAGAACACATTATAAGAAGTGCGTTTATGAGATTCATTTCACATGATAAGTATAGTTAGTGTATTTGACCTGAAAATGTCACGAAATCTCTCGCTCTTTAAAAATTGGCATTCACGTTGAGAAACAAGTTTATAAGACTCGTTTCACATGTTAAGTGCAACTAGTGTATTTAATTGTTGTCTATTCTGTGTTTGGTACATCTTTAACTTTTCGGATGGCTATTAGTGTAAATTCTTTATCTCAAAATTATAACATAAAGGAAAACAAAATTCTAAAGAAATATTTATTTGTGAAAAAAAGATAAAATGAAAACTAAAATTGATTAATATGCAGGATATTTAAAAAAATTGATTTTGAGAATATAATTTTACCTGCTCTGGCCGGAGAAAAACGACGGTACCGAGGACGATGACGTCGCCGGAATCATCCAAGGCTCTTGAAAACTCGAGCCCGTGTTCTTCATTCCCACAAACATCACCGCAAATCCGTACGAACTCGCCGTACGGAATTGTATTCTCCGGGATGTTCCTTAGTCTTTGTTTAACCTTCTCCAACTGAACAAACCTGAGCATTTTCTTGACATCCTTAATTTTCACGACGAAATCGTTGGATTCGTTCGGCGGCGAGGGTGATGGAGGTGGGTTCATCCAGTTAAGAGCCTCACGGTGGTCTCCGGCGATGTTTAGTGATTTGATTTTATCTCTGAGCTTGTCCCCGACGGGGAGGGTGAGGAAGGTGGGGGAGGAGTGGTTGTTAATGGCGCGGCGCTGGAGGAAGCGGCGGAGGAATCCTGTGGCGAAGGATTCTGACGTGGTGAAGAATTCACGGCGGAATTCAGCTTTAGCGTCGTTAGGAATAGCTGAGTGTTTTGAGAGTACAAGGGTTGAGTCTTTGGGGGTGCCGGTGAGAAGACGCTTCGCTAAGGCCTTACGCAGCGCCGCCATTAATGACGGTGGAAAGACAAAATTAGTGTGGTGCCACGGTGGTTCCGGAGAGTGATTCCTCGGCGGGGGAGTGAGTTGTTACGATGTGGGATATATATGGTCGCTCCCGGAATTGAGGAGGAGAGAGAAAATAAAATAATCATTTTTTTGGGAAAAAAAATATAATAAAATAATCTATTTTCTTTTGGGAAAAAAATATTGTTACTAATTTTTATTTTTGGTGGTATCAAAATAGAATCTCTTTAATTAAATGATAGAATCTCCTTATGATCCATCTAATTTAAGAAAAATTTTCTGGTTTGGAAAGATATTGAAAAACCTAACGTCAAGAACTTTTCTCGCAAGACAATTAATAATTATAATTGTCGTCATAAGCATAATTAATGGTACTCTTTAATACATATTTCATATACATATTTTTGTTGTCCGTTGTGTTCACTTACTCCGTGTATGATTAAGAGCATGTTTGGCTAAGTTTAAAAAATTTACTCATAAGCAGTATTATAAAAAGCGTAAAGAGTGGAGACCAAACTTCGTCCTAGGCGAGATTTATACATAAAAAAGCTTAATAAAACGTTTTCTTATTTTAATATAATTTTTAAATCAATCTAAAAGTATTTAATAATTAAAGAAAAAATTGTAAAAAAAGGCTTCTAGGCTCGAAAAAAACGTAAAAAAAAAAGAAAAAGCATGAAAAAGTGTAAGGGGATGCGATACATTTTGTGCCCGTGCACTTTTTAGAACACTATTTATAAGTGAGTATAATCGAAAGTAGATAAATAAAGCATAAATATTTTTTATCAAATTAAACTCAAAATAATTTTTTTTTTAATGTAAAATAAGAAAAAGAAAATTTAAACGTTTCCAAAGGTTCCACTCCTTTTCAGTCCCTAAGTCTAAACAAATGTTTACGTTTCAAAAAGGTAGCGAGACTTGACTTTTGTATGCTCCCTTTCATTTGCCGTTTTGGTGGACCTATCTTTTTCTTGTGGAAATAAACAAAAGAAAAATGCTAGGAATAGTTTAATTAAAAAAAACGACGTTTATATCAAAATCCTTTGCTTATTATTTAGAGATACACTGTTTTAGAGTAATTATAGAAGAATTTGTATTTCTATTTCGTCGCCACAAACTTCCATTGTCTACTTTCTCGTGTGTTTGCGTTGATTTGTATTTGGGGTATCTTCATTGATGCTATTCCATCGTCAAATTTATGTTTTCATTGATTGCTTGTAGGGGTGTTCGATTGCTAGTCGTTTTGTTAATAAATTTTTGCTTTATAATCTTTCTGAAAAAGAAATATAATGGTATCGTTTTTATTGTACTAAATATTCCATAATTGTATGTCTTTTCATTACAATGTACAAAAGACATGTATTAATAATTACTAATGTCCTTGCAAGCATTTTTGTTTTTTGTTTTTTAAAAGGTTGAACCCCACCCTTGAGGGTCCCCCACCGCCGCGCCCCTAGAGCATTGTGGAGGAGATAAATCACGGGATGTGTCTCAATAGGTCAGAGTACAAGAGCTGTCATATTGGTGCCCACAAATAGTCAAATTTCATACCTTATAAGAGGCAAGAATCGAACCCTCACACTGCGGCTGTTAGCTCAACTGAGACTTCCTCGCTCATGTCCTTTACACCATTGAGTTATGCCCTGGGAGACGAGCATTTTTGTTTTTAATTTCTATGTATATATGGATAGGGGCAGATCCAGGATGACAAAAAATATATATATATTAAACTAATTAAAAAAATCATTATATTTATTTTATGTATCGGTCCAATATAAAAATAATATACTTCTAATATCGAATCGGGATCAATTAGGACACAAATAAAGTATTGAGTCCAACTCTTATTTGGTGTCAAGGTAATAACTATGAATAGTCATCGTAGATTCTCATTTGTCCAAATGATACTTTGAACTTGGAACGAACACGAAGAAATTCTTATCTATCTTTTGAGTAGCTTTATCAGTTCGATAGCTCAAGATCTTTGATCATTACTCGAACCCAATTTATTATTATTATTATTTTACTTTAAAAAATTTAATTGGCCCTAAGGCTTGCCTGCCGCCTACCTCCACCGATATTTCTGATCATTTTCTCCAATTTGGGTTAGACTCAAATTAGTAAGGGTCCATTTGATTGTAATTGTGGAAAATAGGTGGAAAGAAAATGAATTTCAGAAAAAGTAATTGCCTAGAAATTATTTTGCGGGGAATTGTTAATTGAGTGTGTTTGATTGGTATAATTTTTCACCCAAAAAAACATTTTTTTAAATCAAAGTTTAGTGTTCGTTTGACTTTATTTTACATGTAAATTGTCCATTAAAGTAAAAAAAAAAAAATTTGCAATTTGTTATAAAATTTGTTTCCATTACCAAAAAAAACAAAAAAACCGAACTTAGAATCAGATTTCCCACCAAAACTTGAAAATGAGGAAATAGTGCACGTGTAGCCATAAAATGGAAAAGGAATTCCATGGAAAAAAAAATGGTATAAAATATGACAAATGTTGGAAAATTGAATTCCATTTTCCATGGAATTCGAAGCCTATCAAACGCACCCTGAAAGAAAAGAGATGGAAAAAAACATATATTATTATAAAGTTAGAGGGCCAATGATGTAAATATGGAAGACTCGCCAATTTAATTCACAATTTGCGGCTGGGGAAACAAGATTGACAGACTAGGATTATTATATATCATAGCGCGTGGCATGTTGAATAAACACAATCGATTTGGATTACTGAAAGTTGTTTTGTCTGCCTGTAGTGTGCATGGGTTGGCTTAATTATGTTGGTTAACCCAATTGTCTCAACATTTTGCCTTCAATTTTGGAACCATATCACTGCAAATGATTTAGAAAAATATTACTTGTACAGTGTTTAGAGGGCTGTAATTCTAATTAATTAATTAGTGGGCTCCACACTAATTAGAGATGACTGTTCTAAACACTGTAAGTGTACCAGTGTTCATTGATTTATTATATTTATTTTGTTAAGCTCTAATTCTCGTACATAGGGAAAAAAAAGTTGGTTTTGTTTGAAATCCGGATGATTACAATGGATGCCAACGTTTAATTGAAAAGATCGAACTTTCAAGAAATAGAGATTGCATTTATTAAATAAAACGATATACTCAAGATTTGTGAGGATAGCATTATGGCTTGCAGATTACATACTCAAGTGAAGAGTTGTGGGAATAGCATTATCTATATAAGTTACATTTTTTAATATAATATCTTTTAAGTCAGTCATAGATTACTACCTATGAAGATGGAAAGTCAGATAACCCTTGTAATATTTTTAAACGTAAAAGATGATTCACAATTGTAAAATGCCTTAAACCAAACGTAAGGGAAACGAAAATTAGTTAGTGCACTTAATATTGGATAGACAATAATAGTATTGGAATATTTGAAGAATATTCAGCACTATTTGATTTTGTTTTTAAAAAATGATAATTAGCACGTAACATTCCCTACTTTTCTTTATTATTATTGTGAAAAACGTCTTTATCTTTCATTTTTTGGTATATTCATTCTTATTTCCAGCTTTTATTTCACAAAATATTATTTTCATCCATTTTCTCAATTAAAAATTGTGGAATGATGAATATAACATTCTCTTTAAATAAAACTAAATGAAAAAAATTGTAATTATAGTCCCAATTTTTTTTAAAATCACAAATGAGTCTCAAATAAATTATTGAAAGGGTAATTAATACATAATATCTCTACCTTTCACTATTATAGCGGAAAACATCCGTATCTTTCATTTTTTTTTTTTCATTTTTCACACTTAATTACACGTTTGATTATGCAAACATCATTTCTATCCATTTTCATCTAATTTCTCAATAAAGAGTTCTGAAATGATGAATACACCCTCATTTATAAAAAAAGGAAAATAAAAAAATTATAATTTTTTAATAATTTATTTGTGACTCGTTTGTACTTTTTTTTATATAAACAAAGACTAATTTCTAATTTTCTAATAATTTATTTGGGGCTCATTTGTACTTCTTTTAAAAAAAAAATTTATAATTTTTTAATAATTAATTTTGGACTCATTTGAACTTTTTTTAAAAAAATAAGGATTGTGTTTGCAATTAATTCTTTAGCTTTTTATTTAAATTGAAGGATATATTCATCATGTCACAACTTTTTATCAAGAAATTAGATATAAATTGGTAGAAATGATGACTTGTGCAATCAAATGTGTAAAAAATTGTGAAAATGTCAAAAAAGAAAGGTATGGACGTTTTCGCAATAATAGTAAAAAGTATGGACATTATGTGCTAATTACCCTTTGAATAATTTATTTGGGACTCATTTACTCTTTTTTAAAAAAAATAATTGGGAATATGGTTGCAATTAGTTTTTGCTTTTTATTTTTGTTATATTTAAAGATAATGGTATATTCGTCATTTCACAATTTTTAATTGTGGAAATGGAAGAAAATGATCTTTTTGCGCAATAAAATGTGGAAATAAGGATGAAAATGTCAAAAATGAAATATGATGACGTTTTCCACAATAGTAGTGAAAGATGAGAACATTATGTGCTAATTACCCTTTAAAAATAGATTTTTATTATATTTTGATAAAAATTGATGAGATTTATGATTTAAAAATTTTAAGAAATTGTGAATGACATAAATCTCTCATTTTTTAAAAATTCTTTTTTTCTACATATTCATTTTCACACTCCTTTTCAGTCCCTAAGTCTAAACAAATGTTTACGTTTCAAAAAGGTCGCCAGACTTGACTTTTGTATGCTCCCTTTCATTTGCCGTTTTGGTGGACCTATCTTTTTCTTGTGGAAATAAACAAAAGAAAAATGCTAGGAATAGTTTAATTTAAAAAACGACGTTTATATCAAAATCCTTTGCTTATTATTTAGAGAGATACACTATTTAGAAGAATTTGTATTTTTATTTCGTCGCCACAAAGTTCCATTGTCTACTTTCTCGTGTGTTTGCATTGATTTGTA